TGCTTTGGATCTAAATATCTAGATCCAGTGTTCTGGAATTGAAAAACGGAGAAAATTTGGGATGCTGAAATGTGTGTTACTTTCTGGTATTTTTTTAGCTGTCATTGGATATCCTAGATACCTGAATATCTATGGATTCTTGCTTGCATATGGGGACACCAAACAAGATGGCTTAGCAGGAAGTAAATACTTATGGAATGGGCTGTTTGACATGGTGATATTGTGGGAACTAAGTGAAGCTAATTTGATATTGTCTCTCTTATTTTAAAAAGACATCTGGGGGTACCAGGGTGACTCCGTCAGTTAAGCGTCTGCCTTCAGCTCAGGTCATGATCCCAGGGTTCTGGGATCGAGCCCCTCAGGGCTCCCTGCTCAGTGGGGAGTCTGCTTCTCCCTCTACTTGTCCCCCTGCTTGTGCGCTTTCTCTCTCCCTGTCAAATAAATCTTAAAAAATAAGTAAAAAAGACAATCTGTGTTGTTTATGTCTGCATTGACTTGCTAGCAGGAAAAAAAAAATGGAACTGTAATTAGGTTGGGAAAACACCTAATGACTAAGAGAGTCTGTGAGATTAACTAGTTTTGGCAAAAAGCTCTAAATAAAAGTTAGAAGGCTGAATTCCAAATGTTTTTTAAATTAAAATATGATTTCATTAAAAAATCATCATATTCTCAGATCAACACATTGGTGGGATTTCTCTTTTCCTTTTTAAAAAGCTATGCAAACTGGGCGCCTGGGTCGCTCAGTCGGTTGAGTGTCTGCCTTCGGCTCAGGTCGTGATCCCAGGGTCCTGGAATCGATTCTCATCCCCGCTCTGTGGGGAGCCCGCTTCTCCCTCTGCCTGCCGCTCCCCCTGCTTTCTCTCTGTCAAATAAATAAAATCTTAAAAAAAAATAAAAAGCTATGCAAACAAAAACAGTTCCCCTCTTTTTTTCTGTTATTCACAAGTAGTCCATGGTTTGTAGACTCCTGCCCTCTAGTAATGCTCACTCACTCACTCTCTGGAACAATGAGAAGGATATATAGAGAGAAATTAGCCTGACACTTGGGAATGACAGAACACCAAACCAAAAAACCTCTAATACAGGTCCTCAGACACACAAATGCTCTGTGTCTATCCCTTTCGAGGCTGACTTATGTTGGAATGAAGTTTCTTTTGTATGAGCTCAGGAGAAGATTCTGAAATACACACTGGGATTTATGGAAATGAGAGAATTAAGAATATGAGTAGCAGAGAGCACAAGGAACTGTCAGTGACTCTGGTAAGAACACAGCAGCATAAGAAAGAAGAAATGGGATACGGGGCTGATTTTTTTTTTTTCTTTCTGGGATTGAAACACACACCATCGATGCCAGATATTGTAGAAGAGACAGATGGTATGGCAGATGCTGTGAAAGAAAAATGACTTCCTACTAGGTGAACCAGAAAAAATAAACAAGAAGGACAGAGGGAAAAGTACAAGAGTTCCCCTCTGTTGTCAGGAACATCGTCCCATGCTGTAAAATGTAATTGCACTGCATAGGCTTGCAGATTGCAAATTAAGCATCTTAACCATGTTCTCCACTGATGGCACATTTGGAATTTACAGCCATTCTTTTGAGAGGGCTCACTTTTTGTCTACTGGTTTTCTAAAGAAGAAGGGAAGACACCAACTAATTGGATATATGATGCCTATATATTATGAAGAAGATGCCACTGCTCATCTTTTTCTGGCTCAGTTGGTTGCCATAGGATATGGAGAAACTGAATGAAACTCATCTTGGTTTATTTTAGAAACATTCCCAATTAACATCCTTTCAAGGTGCAAATCAAATGAATGGGTTGGCATTTTAATAAACTTAAATCAAAGTTTAAAACGTGTCTCAGAAAGCTGCACTGGGCTCTCTCATTAGGTCCCCTGGGGTTTAAACCAGGTGCCTCACCAAAATTATAGCTTAGCATGTGCCGTGGCTCCACGGAGTTGATAGGAATGGTTGAAACCAATAAAAATGATTTTCAAAGGCTAAGGGTCTAATATGAGATACCCAGACACACACACGCAGTACAGTGCCAACATATGTAGATTTAATATATGAAACTTCATCACTATGCACTTGGCAGCCACAGTTACATCACTTATATTAGACAGGAATGGATGCAGTCGAACCTAAAATTGCCAATGTGAGTTGCTGAAATAAAGAAAAGTATGTGAACGATATTAAGGGTTTTCTGACCATTACAAAAATTAGAAAAGGGGGGGTTGGGGGGCTGGGCAAGTATCCAGTCATGGTTTTGTCACTATATTTGCAGAGGAAATTGAAAACTAATTAAAGACTATAGAGTAACATTGACTAACAAAGAACTACTATAGGCTTTTGAAGGGTAATTCTGATTATATATAATATTTAGTTTCTTGCTGTTTTTAGAAACACTAATAGCCCGCTGAGGTAGACCCCATTGTACATGTACAACCTTCACTCACACACAACTTATGACTTAGAAACTCATGGCAGAAATGAATCTTAATAACAACATGGAATCCAGAAATAGCTTAGATGCCATATTCTTCCATTTTTAAGGGAGCAAATGCACCCAAGGCCTCCTGGCAATCCCTGTCTAGTTCTCATTTTCTTTTTATTTCCTATTTCTTCTTCTCTCTATTGCCCAGATCAGTGCTGCCCTCTGCTACAGTAAAGTAGAAGACACAGAAAGCAGAGAATAAGTTTCCAGAGACTAGTATCACACCAGCATCTCCACCAGGCCCACCTTGGAACAAATTAGCATACTAAGTTTGAGGATACACATTTTCTGAAAGCCAGGGAGAAATTACAGGGAAGCGATTTCAATCTGGAACAAGTCCTACTTGAGGAATTTCTTTGGTATGTCCCTGCTAAATCCTCCCAGAGGAATAAGCCTTAGAGCCTGATGGGCCAGCTAGGAATGGATCCCTTTGGTGGAGGGTGGGGAGAGCCGACTACATTCCAGCATTGAAATGGTGGATGGCCGCAGAGCTACAAAATGCCATGTTCCTTGATCTTATCATCAAGTGCAAATTTCTATTGTTTGGCCTCCTTCATTAGACTTCTGAACTTGGACAGTGACTCTTGACAAAATAGCTTGATAAAATTTTCTGCTCTGTGGAATTTTATATGAGAAATGCGGGGAAAATTAACATGTTCTCCAATTCTAGCAAAGGCTGGACAATGCTGCAGTTACAAATTCTATTGGGCAGCAATCTGGTGTTTCGAATGTTGTTGCCGTTGGTTTGTTTAGCACTCTGAAGCTCCCTTCTACTAAACTTCAACACATAATGTTCACATAAAAGACACCATTATCTTATCAATATCACATAGCTTAGATCCTAATTGAGAACTTCCTCCTTCTATAGGTATAGAATGCAAATTATAATGTTTTCTGTTTGAGAGATTCCTGAATTACAGCTCTAAAATTAGACATAGGGGCAGGATGCGCAAAATGGGCAAAAAAATAAAAAAAGACCCGGGAAAATCCCAAATGTTTTTCTATCCTGTACATGGTGTAATTGCAAAGGATTCTTTTCCAAAGAGGAAAATAGTGGCACTAGGCACTTGGAAGCAATTTCAGTCTTTCACAGTCCCCACCAAATGGCATTTTATTTGACACTTTTGTTTATCAGATAGTTTTAGCATTCTCTTTCAATGTGTCATTGAGGAGAGTGTGACATCATGTTATCCTTGCAATAAGCACTTCTTACACTAATAAGATGTTTATGACTGCTTTATGAAATACCTATTCTTCGCCTTGATAAAAATATGCATTTTTATGTCATTTCCATGGATAATTCTTATTATGAATTTCCAACACTGATATTGTTCTATGATAAACTCCTGATTTACTCAGAATCAAGAAAGCAGAAGGCTCTAAGAGAAAATTAGATATATAAAAATATATTTTTAACATTTCTCTGTAGTTAAGAGATAAATGGCAAGGAAAATAATTTCCATAATATTTTGTCAGAAATGCAACCTACAGAAAAATTCATATATACTTTCCTATGTACAATCATTTGTACTTCTATAACTTCTATAACCCTATAGCAAGAATAAACCTTTATAGAACCTGATTTATTATAAGATCCTGGACCACCTTTTGAATCATCAAGGACAAATTTATCTTCAGTATAATTTTGAATAGTTAATAGAATTTGCCCTATTCTAATTCTTTGAAAATGTGTAACTGTATGTCATATTATAAGCCTTAAATGACAGAACATTCTTTTTTCCTCTTATCCCCCAGATATCTTTGTTCTTATTCACCTAAGGTAAGTCTAATCCATAAGACTGTAAGTAGTTCTACTTAAGTAGAACATGCTAATATGTCCCCCCCAAACTATCTTCTTTCTCAATCATCTTAGGTAGACTCCATAAATAAATGTAAATTGAAGAAAATTTAGTTTTAGGAACATTCTCAAAGTTTCCACAGGAAGATGCCTATTGTCTTCAAACAGTTGTAACAAAAAGGGACTAAAATGTTGCAGCTCCTTGAAAATCAAAACCCAAATTGCAATGAAGAGTCTCATTTTGAAGTAGTCACTCCCATAAACCTCTGCTCATGGTACCACTTAGCACCTGTTACCACAGATTGGAAGCTAATCTGACCTAGTCATTACAAAAGAGGAAATTCATCAAGGGACTTACTCCTAAATAATGATGGCTGGGTTATAAACTCCCCTTCCAATTAATTTTATTCTTTCAGTTGATGAAATTGCAGAAATGAGATGAACCTGGAAAAAGGGAGCACTGTAACCAGCAGGAGCCACAGTCCCAATGCCTGTGGGTGCTTCAAAAAGGAATGAAGATGCAGGATGCAGAGCTCTGGCCTTAAGGGTAAATGCTGAGACTGAAAGACATTGACTGGAAAGGGGTTCATTTTCCCCATTCAACCAAATCAGTCTGAATGTATTTCATTTCCTACTAGTAGTGAAATGAGTCATCCAGTTAGAATCAATAACTCTAGAGTCTTTCATCAAATTTCTTCACTCACCTTCCATGGGGGTGTTGCTGTCCGGTCGGTTTGCAAAGACTACGTCCACATACTCGAGCTGCAGCCTCTGGAGGGAGCCCTTCAGCCCTGGCAACCAAGGCAGGAAAAACCCAAAAAGTACAAATGTAAGCACTATTAGAAATAGTTAAAGTTGGGGGCGCCTGGGTGGCTCAGTCGGTTAGGCGTCTGCCTTCGGCTCAGGTCATGATTCCAGGGTCCTGGGATCAAGCCCCGCATCGGGATCCCTGCTCTATGGGAAGCCTGCTTCTCCCTCTCCCACTCCCCCTGCTTGTGTTCCCTCTCTTGCTGTGTCTCTCTCTGTCAAATAAATAAATAAATCTTAAAAAAAAAAAAAAAGAAATAGTTAAAGTTTAAGAGACTCTTAACCCTAGGAAACAAACTGAGGGTTGCTGGAGGGGAGGTGGACGGGGGGATGGGGTAACTGGGTGAGGGGCATTAAGGAGGGCACGTGATATGATGAGCACTGGGTGTTCTATGCAACTGAAGAATCACTGAACTCTACCTCTGAAACTAATAATACACCATATGTTAATTAATTGAATTTAAATAAAATAAAATAGAAATAGTTCAAGTTTGGTTTCCTTCAAACATTTACTTTAAAAAAAGCACTGTATTAGTTTCAAAAAGACACTGAATACAACGATATATTAATTGGCCCCTAGAACCTTTAAAAAATATATCAAAGGCTGTCTTTGTCCTCAACAAAGAAAAGTCTTATAGGGTGGCACAGTTCAGTTAAGCATGTGACTCATGGTTTCAGCTCAGGTCATGAGCTCAAGGATTGCGATCTCAGGGTTGTGAGATTAAGCCGTGCATCAGGCTTTACACTCAGTGTGGAGTCTGCTTAAGACTCTCTCTCTCTCCATCTGCCCCTACCCCCCTGCTCTTTTTTTCTTTCTCTCTCTAAAATAGATAAATCTTTAAAAAAAAAGTCTTATAACTTTCTCAATAATTTCAGTACTCCTACCTCACCAGAAAACACATACCCAGTAATGATCTTTCACGGTGACTCATTCGTGGCCATATCCAGGAGCAAAGTTTAGAATAAAAAGTAGCCCAAGAGTTTAACTTCTTTCTTCTTGAAAAAATGCAAATCACTGTCATGTTATCAATAACTTAACGGGCTTACAGTGGGATGGGATATATTTATTGCACATCAAAAACATTAAAATGGTATGTCAGAAATAAATGATTGCCAAGCCCATCTTAATGTACACATGTGTTGTAACAGGAATAAAAGGATTGGCAAATGAAGGTTTTGCTCAACCTTTTACTGATTGAAACAAAGTTTGAAGAACCTTAAATATAGCTGAGTTCTACCATTTCTATTATTCCCTGTTCTTTGGGGGAAGAAACGAAAACACTAGAAGCTATAAAGACTTAGGTAATATAAAGGAGAGAGAGAACTTAAAAAAAAATCTGGAACCAATAATCTAAGTTTTAGCCCTAACCATTTGGTCACATTCCTAGGAGTACTCAGAAAAAATGATTTAATTTCAGTAAAATTAATACTTCCCTGAAATAGAATGTATTGTATATAATATTATGCAACCAAAAGGATGACAGTTCAAGAACAAATTTATCTCATTTCCATGAGGCACAGCATTTCCTTATCAGCCTATTTAATTCCTCAGGAAGACCGGTGGTTTTTCTCTTTTTATTATAGGCATAAAATTAATTGCATGTTAAATGAGGCTCTTATAAATTTAAATTTGGCTCATTTAAATTTGATTTTTCAAACTGGTATACCAGCCAGCCACAATTACTTTTCTGACAGGAAAATGAAGTGCTTGGATATAGTTCCGGAAATATTTTTCATTCATTGAGAAAGGATTGTCTGTGATAGTAGCTTGTTAAAAGAAGCATTGACGAAGAGATTAGGGCAGATGGGTGTTACAAGGTCCAAGGCTTCCTCTCGAAAAACTGCAGTGACTTTCAGGCCTGGGGTATTGCCAGCTCTCTCAAGGGGCAGCTTGAAATTAAATTAACCTTAAAAAGCACTATGATATGAGCCACTTTTTGGAAGCAAGTATATGTATTGGAGGAAGTAAGGGGAGGACAGAATAACCAAACGAACAAATAATAGGGTATCACAGGTTGGAAAGGTTGGAAATCTGTCCTCTAGCATGCTCTGTGTTTCCACTTGGGTTATTTGAACCCCCCCCCCTTTTTTTTGGTGACTCAGGTCTCTGATCTGCAGTGGAGATAACAATACATACTACCTTCAGGATCACTGCTCCGGGAGAGCAAATAAAACCAGCTGTCAAGCACTTTGTAAGCACAGTAATCTATAGAAATGTGGTGATTATCACAGTGGTGCTAACATCTGGAAAGGTTCAGAATGAGAGGTGCCAAAGACTCAATGCTAAGGATTTTCACTGGACCTCCTGGTTTTGGAGGGAGGCATTTAGTGACAGTTCTGGCCCTTCCTGGCACTGAAAGCAAGTGTCCCCCTTTCTGATAATGGCCCTATCCCTCGGTGTCTCTTCTAAACAGCTCAGCATGGGCAGAGAGTAACTACGAGAAAAAGCTGCAGCTGGCTCGGCCCGTTTGTAGTGCTGTGTGGTCGGCCAGGACTTGAGTCATTCACTCTCCCATGTCCTAAGCATGGGCTAAATCCCAGTATGATCCCCAAAATGTGCTGGGCTCCCGGGGTATAGAGATGCATGGACACCGTATTTATCCCCGAGGAGCAAACAGTGCAGTGAGAGCATGTTGGGCACAGGTCACCGCTCAAGGTAGTAATGTGTACCCGTAAATAATGGCAGGCCCTCCATATGAAGGTCAGTGTTATCGTAAGTGATCATTCCGTGCCTCTCCATTCTTTCTCAGGAAGGCATTTTTTCCCTGGATATTTAGGCTGAGATTCAGGTGTATTCATGCGAGAATATAAGAAATCATGTGTTACGTCACATCAGTGACCCACCTGAACCCCCACGCTGACTCTGAAATGAAGTAGGAGATTGTGCCTCTAAGAGACCCTGTCCCTAACTTTGAAAATCTCAATCACATCAAGCCTTGAAATCCATGGTGGAAATTCTGGGTTTTACTCTCTGTGAGATGGAAAATCACTGAGCGGGAGTGGGGGGGGAGGGCTGGGAGGGGGGAGTTAAACAGGGGAAATTACTTTATCGGATTTCCATTTTGAGCTGGTCACAGGTCTGCTGAGGATGACCTGGAGGAGGCAGGAGTGAAAGCAGGGAGGGTGGCCATTGAGAGGTCACGACAGCAGGGAAAGTGGGCCAAGTTGGGACAAAGTGTTCAAAATCGGGACAAGTAGCATAAGTAGAAATAAGGGGACTGGTAGGTGTGCTGGGTACAGAGTGTGGAGGTCAAGGAATCGAGGATGACTCTCAGATATTTGGCCTGAAAAGTGAAGGGACTCTTAGTAAGACAGGGAAGTCAGGGGGAAAGCAGACTGGTGGGAGCCACAGAAGTCTGAGCCGCACGTTAGTCAAGCACACGGAGCTCTTGGCTGGTGGACAGAGCAGCCTGGCATTCAGAGGCGAGGTCTATGTGCAGGTGAGGCAAAGGGTTTGGGATGCAGGGTACTGATTTGGGCCTTGCTGACATTGTCTCAGCATCTTTGGGCCCTGGTTTCCTCATTTATCCAAAGACAAACTAGAGTTAAACGATCTTTATGCTTTAATCTTTCATGTGACTACAAACCAAATCAGGCACTCCTGCCCTTTCCCATTTGGATGCTTTAATCTTATAGAAATAGTTAAATTGTAGCAACATAAAGACATGCTCAACAAAGCCATTCAGGGTTTATCTCCAATGAGCAAATAGTCATGTTGTAGCCCCACTTAGCAAATGTTTGTTGAGCATTGGCTTGGAGCCAGGTATTGTTTTAAGTTTAAGTAGACATGCAAAAAGGCATTAACCTTGGCTGCAGAGGGGCATCCGGGCTGCTAATCATAACCTAAGGTAGGCAAGTGCGCTGCTGCAGTGAATGCACTTGCTGAAGTCACTTTGGACTTCAGCCTGTCCCTCGGCACTACCCAGTATCTGTGGGCGTGAATATAGGAGAAGCAGGAAAAAAGCTCCCTGTCCTTGAGGAGATGTCTGCAAGCTAATTGGTAATTCCTCAAAAGTCCACAGGATACTAAATGATGTTATGTAAAGAAAATAGCTTTTTTTTTTTTTAAAGGAACACATGTGCCAAAGGTTTTGGGGGTGGGAGGGATGGGGTGGCTGGGTGATAAGAAAATAGCTTTCAAGTGACTGTAGTAAAAAGAAATCGAAGTTGATTTTTCTTTTAGGTTCTTAAGATGAACAGGAATTGTATCGTTTATAAGCTAAACTTTAATTCAATGTAAGCCAACTTCACAGGCATCTAAAGAAATACGCCCATTTCAGAAGTTAAGCAGACTGGCATGGTCAGAGATGGTTCAGGTGTTCCGTGTTGTCTGTTGAACTGTGTAGAAATAAGGAAATCAGTAGTCTGGAGATTCTGTGAGGGTTCTATTCAAACATGCGGTGTCCACACATTTGCTTTCCTTTCCAGCTTGAAAAAAAAATGTTGCCTTAAATGATGGGCAATTTTTCCGTATATAATTTTCCGCCTTCTTCTTGGCAGACCTCTCAGTCATGACTTAAGACAGGTCTGCTTGTTTTTATAAAACTGTGCTGTGGGACGCCTCGGTGGCTCAGATGGTTAAGCATCTGCCTTCGGCTCAGGTCATGATCCCAGGGTCCTGGGATCGAGCCTCACAAGGGGCTCTGTGCTCAGCAGGGAGCCTGCTTCTCCCTCTCCCTCTGCCTGCCTGTCTGCCTACTTGTGATCTCTCTGTCAAATAAATAAATGAAATCTTTAAAAAAAATAAAAAAATAAAAAATAAAACTGTGCTGTATTAGAATAAGGTCTGTGGCTACCCCTCCCATGATGAAACATGGTTATCCTGAGTGGGTGATTTCAGTTAAGTATGAACATGGAACACTGGGAAGAAATTGTGGTGAAGCCATCTGTTAAGAAATTTCCTCTTTCATTGAAAAAATCATAAATTAAATTTTTAAAATAAAAGTTCAGAGAAGTTGGGTTTGACATTTGCCATTCATTAAAA